GGAATATATTCCAAAACAATATATCAAAATACCAAAACTCTAACAAAAAAACAAACAGAATCCATACTTATCAATCTCTCTAATAATCTTCTATACTGGTTTTACTATGATATATGGTCCAAATGCAACTCTTTTTAACACTAATGGGAAATAGCCCAAAACATTACACCTAAAACCAAATATATTAAATTCTCTACACCTCTACTTACTAACTCAACAACTCTCCATAGACCTCTTTTATAACCAATAGATCCATGCAATACTATCAAAAAATGGTACTTACAAGGCTTTCCCCTAACAACATGCTTTTTATAATATCATGATTAACACTTTAAGGTTTTCTCTAACCTATCCTAGCTAGAATTACTTTATTCATTTAAATTAATAATAGTATCAAATAGGGAATAAGAGGTGTAATGTCACATTGGGTGCTCTGTAGCACAAATATAGTTAGAAATCTTTACTATAGAGAAAATTTTTTTTCTTTTCTAAAACCATATCCTCTTTTTATTAGCTAGTACTAAGTTGAAGGAATTTGACAGCCTGGTCAGGTGACTTATCTGCCCCCTTACCCAAGTCTTTTTAGTAACAGGAGGACCATTAATTTCTAGATTAATATAGATTTATTGTAATAAAGTTTCTACTATGATATTATATTAATAAAAAAAAAAAAATAAAAATAAAAATAAAATCAAAATTAATAAAACCTAAAAAATAAAGTTGCTAAGTTTATTTTTTTAGTTAATTAATATTTAATAGAGTTATGGTATATTTTTTTTAAATTATCCAATCTTATTAATAAATTTAAAAATTGGCTATTTTAATTTTGGCCAAAATTATTTGGAATTAATATAATTCTGGCCAAAAATTAATATAATTTTTGTTAAAATATATTCAAATTTTAATATATTAATTTATTTCGTGTAACATATACTTAAATTTGGCCGTTAAGTTTATGACTTACTGGTTTAAGGATGCCCGCACTATAATGAAAAATTATGTGTTTGATTGGTTGCTATCGCTATCAGCAATCAAAATTTAAGCTTATACAGTATTGTCTGTTATATATATAAGTTTTATTTCACAATTCAGACCACATATCACGTCAATCAAATTAATACTGTAATACCATAATAGCGATAGGAACTAACAGACATGATCCGTAACCAATCAAAATGCCGTTATACCGAGTACAATAATACAGAATCTTGGATCAAAACTCGCGAATACAGGAATATTGATTTAAATGGCCAAAAACAAGTTATTGCCCTGGACAAGAATTATTGCTGCGGTTAAACCAGCTTAGAAATTAAAGCTAACTATACTTACATCGGAATTACGGAGTTATGCGCATAATGATCAAGAGTACACTTGTCCTATTTCTCATTCTCTAAAGAATTCATGATTTGTATCATGGGTCGTCACTTATTTATCGACGATAATGCGTTGCTACTTTGATCAGTTGCCATATCAGATATGGATCGAGTCCCGTGATAATAATAGTGTATATATTTATTATCGTTATGGTTAGAGCGCTCCTGTGCAGCTGAGCTTTTTTTAACTTTGTCAAAAAAAATACTGAAATACATAAAAGGACATTCTCCTTGTAGAAGCTAACCAAACCTTCTAAATAAATAAACATCAGAATTCCTTCTTTTTAGGTTCGCAAAACTTTTTACCTTTTATTAATTAGGAACATTAGAAACATTAAGAACATTAAATACTATACAAATTTCATTGGTGTCTAAATGGAGATCTCGCTGTAAGGTTTAGCACCCGATTTATCTCCCAGCATATATAAAGCAAACTTGATGCCGTATGTATGATATGCACAGAACTCCCTCGAATTCTTCTTCCCAATATTCAGCTTCTCCTCCGTCTTATGCTGCAAATCAACCTTCTATAACACCAAATTCTCCACGTCAAACAAGGGTAGACCAGATCGTTCAGGTTAGTATACAGTGCGCATTAGCGCTTTTTTTATGTATTATATTTACGACCTTGAGATTCTAAGATTAACGGATGCATATGATTTGGCCTTTTCAAAAAACATAGAACTTTTATACAAAAGTTACTCAAGTAGTCACCCATGCGCGTCTTATACAATACGATAGCCAGATAAGCGGAAGAGGTCCACAAAATGCCAACATAGTTTTACCCTCACGCCAACCTATACATCCTAGGAGGCCCAACAAGTGGGTACGTGTAAAATTCAAGCTTAATAAAATAAATCGATTATATGTTGTTCATAAAAACAAGAAGAAATACGACTTTTTTCTAATTTATATTTGTGGTCAATCCATTAATCAGTTTAATCTGGAACTATGGGATTCGGATGTTTACAAAGATGGTCTTAAATCTTGGCGTCAGGCATCCCAAGCATCAACAGGAACCGTACCACTTCCTATGATAATCGAGTTTTTTCTGGATGTTTCAGATTTAAATAAAAATCAAACACTCTTTATAACCGATGAGATTTTAAGGAGGCAAAAAGTTGATTTGTATAACATAGGTGGATCTAGTAAATCCTCAAAAAATATTGTGTTGGAAAGTTGGCAATTGACTTTAAGGTATCATAAATTTGAAATTTTTTATAATAAATTATTCATTTCTTTCAGGCTTCAAATTTACTCTCATATATGAAATCCATAATAAATAGCCATCCTTTACCTGATCCACTACCAGACTTACCTGTTGTCTATAAAAAGTCCATCGCTTTTTTTCGCACATTGTATGCTTACGTTAGACTGTTGCCGGCTTATCGCCTTTACAGACGAATAAAAAAAAAGAAATTGAGCAGTGCTTTGAAAATTGGTTATAGGTTCGTATTGCCAACTAGCAGAATTCACGATTATATTGGTATAGGTCAGTATTGGCATTATTTTTATTAGCAATTTAGAGTTTTAATAGTAAATTATTTATCAACCTTTATTATCAATCTTTATTATCAATTTTGTATTTTCAATTTTTCAGATGTGCCTATAATAGAGGGAGAGTCAAGACCAACATCTGCTGATTATAAATTTAATTCTATTGATACGCCTTTGGGGTAATAATTATTTTGTTAAATCTTTCAAAGTACAAAATTATTTTCTCATTAGAAATAATCTTTCATATTATAGAGTATTATCATTAAAAGTCAACTACAGGACAAATTGTGAATTCCATGTTGATGATTCTTCGGAGGTGCTTATTGATATGGATGAAAACTATTTTACGCCAACATTGGCTAATTACTACCAACCAGAAGAACAAAGGCAACAGGATAAGTCAGAAAGGCGAAAAAGCGTTCCTACCACGATGAAGGTTTGTGTCATGTGTAGTTCTAGGACAAAATTTTTGGTAGTAATAATAATAATAATGCTAAATACTATCTAGACACCTCCCTCTGGTTTTCCACATCCAGGGTCTTCACCTAAACACACAAATAGCCAATTAACTGTTGACATTCCACCAATTCGAACACTTAGTCCATCTAGGTCAAATCCTGAAATGAAAGAAAACTCTAGTCTTACATTTCCCAAATTTTATACCCAATCTAGTTCGTCGACTCTCGGATCAAATTTTTCAAGGCGTGGATCTCACACTTTAGAACCTATTATGGTAAGTCCTACATCACAGAGTTCAAGGTTACTTATCCTGAATAAAAAATTGGTTCTTTTTTTATTTGTAACTAATCTCATAACAATTATACTTAATTTATTTAGCAACGTGAATACTCGTCATTTTATTCACCAACAGGTCCAAATGTCACATTAGTGAAGCCTTTTAAATCTCCGTCACTTTCCTCTTCCCCAGTAAATCATGATATGATGCCTCCGTCTCCAACGCTACTCGATCGAATGTCTACTTTACATCTACATCGATCACCTTCACAACTTTCTTTTCAACAGCGAGGTACACCAACCATGTCTTCTTCTGTGAAATCAACTTCTTCTGCTGGAAGCCTTCCCAAATTTTCCTCTAGCTTCACCAGTTTCACTAACCGGTATGATAAGGTCACCAGCTCAACCACAAGGGAACGTGATGGGAGTTATAGTAGTCGACGACGTTCAACAAATAGGAGTGACGGTTCTACCAGTGACAGAGGATCCCTTAATTCAGTTAGTCATATATATATTTGTTTCGTTATTATCTATGTTTAAAGAAAAAAAAAATAAGAGAAAAATTATATATATATATATATTATATAATGAATCATTGACATCTCAGATTTTCATATTTCTTCGTCTTGCAGTCTTTCTTTTCATTAGATCCGGAGGATGACGTAGGCGAATTTGTACGGATGTTGGAAAGACGAGAACCATTAAAAATGTTTAGCAAAAGTCCAACTGGCTCGGACGATGCCGATGGTTCAGCTCGTAATCTATCCGGCTCTGTATATCGAACCCAGGTATTAATTATATGATTATAATTAATCGTTATTTATTGATTTAACAATTAAGTGTATAGTTTAACGTGCTTTAACATGATATAATAGTTACAATTGTCGCGATTTCAAAAGTTGAAAGAGGCACACAAAAATTTGTCAGAATCAATGATGACAGGTACAGGTGATATTATTACTGGTTCTCCTTCATCAGGTATTTCTCTACGTGTTCATCAAGCAAAGGAGGATGATGATGATATTTTTTTTACAATGAGCGAATTTTCTGATGATAAGACTAATAGCGCTGTGAATAATGTTTCTGGTCCAACTCCTGGTAGTTCCGATGTGCTTGTTGATCAACCAGCTGTTGTTAATAATAATACCAGCAATGTAACCGATGTTACAATTGTTGTCAATGATGCCAATCAGAACAGTTAACACTTATTAACATTTATCTATTAAACTGTAAAGCAATTCCAGGAAAATTTGCCTGGAAAATTGTTATAAATTTGCTTATAATCTACTTTTTTTAAAATTTAAAATATTTAAATAAAATTTTTTTGATAATATATATTTGAAAACAAGGATTAGTATTTAATTTTATATTATATGAAAAAATGTTTAAATTGCTTATAAGTCAAAAAATAGACAAAATTTAAAAAAATTTTTAACTAAAAAATTATTTACAAATTCTTGAACTCTTTAAATATTAATTTTAAATTTACAGTTCTTAATAATATAACTTATACAATATAAACAGGGTTGGTCAAATTGCTGGTCGACCAAAGATTCATTGGTCAAACTGGTCTGGTCAAATTGGTCAATATATATATATATATTTAAATATCCTTTGACCAATTTGACCAATACTAAACCCTTTGACCAACTGGTCAAATTGGTCAAACTGGTCTGGTCAAGCTTGACCATTGACCGGTCTAAGCCAACCTTGAATATAAAGGATAACAATTTTTATTATTGCATCTTTAGTGATTTATTAATAAAAATTAAGACTTGTATTAAAAAAAATTTTTTTTTTATATCAAAAAATATATAAAAATTTAAAAAGTTTAAAGAAAACTTTTATAAGTGAAAATTTCAAAGCAAGAACTTTAAATTTTTATTACTTTAAAAATTTATAATAAATTTATAATAAAGTATATTGAATATGTTTTAAATATATTACTATATATAAAATATACCTCATATTATTAATGTTTTTTAATTTGATTTAAAAAATTGTAAATACTTTTCAAAATTCCAGGCAAATTTGTCTGGAAACAGTTAAAGGGATAAGAAATAAAACACTATTTCTTAATTGGTAATAGTTTGGTATCATTATCGTAGATGACTCGTGATAATGTCTGGAGACTGCAGTTTTTTGGTTGGAATTGATTTATTTTTTTTTATTATCAAAGCAAATGATAAGACAAGCCATACAATAGGACATAGATAACACGAACTTTGAATTCTTCGTCTTATTCATATTTGATGATCATTAAAACATTATACATAATTCTATAATTGCATAATTTATATTCTTTTATACGAATTAGGAAAATTTGGTCATGATTTATTATCTACGTATTACGTATATACTGTATTTCTTGCTACTATTATTTCTGGATTTATTACGTTTGGTTATAAAGTTCTATAATCGTAACGTAACATAATCTTTTATATAATATCCGTAGATATTGCAATTACCACTTACGCACGTACTAGAGTGGTTTCACTCATTGAATCGCTATAACTTTTAAATTTGGATAACTGTACAAGCTAATAATGCCAAGTTTTTAAGATTTTGTATGGAACTGATAAAAAAAAAAATCATTAATTCTACTTTTTTTTTTTTTGAATCAATATTTTTATCATCTGTCGTTCTATTTAAATAAGTAAGTTCCTTTGTTTTTTATTTAACAAAGTTTCCTATTTATCTAACGTTGTTATCTCATTGTATGACGCCAAAGAGTATTAAGCAAGCAACATTATAAAACTATTTCTAATTACAATAATTACCACCCAAACCATTAAATCAAATATCTCGAATCTCTATACATAAGATAGTAGTTGTTTTGAGCATAGCGGACTTAATGTGCCTAATTTTGTTCCTCTAGTAAATTTATTAACACTACATATGTTATTAATTTTTTACTTTTTTGAATGTTCAATATAATATATGATGCGAACAGCTTAAAAACATTCAATTTATTGTTTTTAAAATTGTATCTATTTAATAAAAAATTACTAACTTCAAATAAATAAATTAAATGAATAATTTAAACTTATTAGAATTCATCTTAGCTGCTAGAAAAAACTTAATTACAGAAGCTTAGACATCTTAATAATGCGTAGTAACAATATAGTACTATGTAAATTTAAAGTGCCGTAACTATATATACTGTATTAAAATAGTACTTAAGTTTATACTAATAGCAAGGAATTATTCTTCATATTATAATATTTTTTGTTTTTGATAAGAAATTACTAACCAATATGGAAGTACCATTATATATACTAATAATGAGAGAAGCGGAGAATAAAAAAGTTAGGTTTAGGTCGCAGGTAAATTAGCCTGAGTCGCAGTTGCTATGATTAATATGGAGCTACATGTAATATTTGATGTATATATCGTATATATCGATATTATGAAATAAACTAAGGCAAAACCTCACTCCTTAAAAAAAAAAAAAAAAAAAAAAAAAAAAAAGAATTACTTGTAGTTAAAATTATTAATATTACTACACTTTTAACTTTTTAAAACTGAAATGAAACTTTTAAACTGAATACTGTAGCATTAAATAAATATAGATTAGTAAAATTTTATGATTTTGTTTATGAATAATAAGAATTAAGATTTTTTTTAAAAAAGTAAACTAATATTTTTACGCGTATTTTCTTTTTGACATAATATTATTAATAAAATTTTAAGTTTAAATAAATAGTATAAACAAAAAAGATCTAGTAGCAAAAAATATAATTTTTGGTTCTTATAAAATTTTTAAAAAAGAGACCCGGCATCCGGATTTTAAAAAATTTTATATAAAAAGTTTTCTTTGGTATTAAACTACTTGAATAGTAAATACTGTATATAGATATTTTTTTCTTACATCAGTAATATTTAATCTGACCAGCACTCAAAATTAAACAATTCGACATGTCGAATGGCATATTCGGCTGCTATTCAAACTGACATTCGACTGCCATCGATCTGCCATTCGGAATGGTAGGTCGAATGACATTATTCGACAGTCGAATGTCAGTTTGAATGGCAGTCAAATATTGCCATTTCGAATTTTTTAATTTTTACTAGTGGGTTATAACTTAATGGCATAATACTGCCTAAGCAAAAAGATTATTTTATAAATTCTATAAACCGAATATACGATTTTTACAGAATTTAAAATATCATGCTAAGAAACCTTAATCTATTACTCTTTGATCTATTTAGTTGCAAAAATTTAGTTAATGTGTAAATAACGATAAAAAGAAGAATGCAGTTAATTTTACGGTATATATCGGTATGCTTTCTAATTTTAGACTCTGTGTAACATATTTCTAACTGAATCAAGTTTATGTATAAAATTTAGATAATCTTATCAATAAATTTTTAAAAAATAATGTTAAGTCGTTCAATTTTCAAGAGAAAAGCTTTCCAATTAAAAGCAAAGACTAGCATAATTTCAAACATAAACTCAATATCATGGATCGTTTATCATGATACCATTTCAATTTGGAAAGCATTACCTTTTTCATCATTTAGTTCTCGACCTTCTAATCTCACTGCTGCCTCCATGTTACATGCAAAAGCTGATATCTCAAGAATTAAAATCAATTTTATGAAGCATGGGATCATTAGTTCTCAGTATCGTAGCCTTTTTAATGAAACTACCATTGAGCATAATAATAATAATGAACAAACTATTAGTAAAATGACACGTCGGCCTAGGGTTAGATCTGAGATTAAAGAACTTCGAAAGAAACAGCAAAAATTTTTTGATGAACATTTAAATAAAGATCACGTTTCTTTGGAATTGTTAGAAGGTATTCATCTAATGTGTATCTAAAATAAATTATTATTAAAATTTGTATTATGACATTTTTTAAAATTTTTTTTAATTATTTTAGATTTTCCTGTATGGCTTGATAATTTGGGGCTAAAATTTCTCGCACCATGTTTTAAGGATAAAAAATGGCAAGATATTATCGAAATGTATGCATTAATACTTGAATGACATCCATAATTCTAAATAATTTATAATAATCAATATTTAAAATTCCGGTATTTCATTTGGAAGTCATATTTAAAAAAATTTTTTTTTATAATTATAAATTATATATTTTAGGAATTCTGAGGAATTAAATGATTTGGGTATTCGGACACAAAAAATTCAAAATTTTTTGTTGATAAATTTCTGGTATGTTAGGAATTATATTGTAAGTTATTTAGATTAAGATCACTTTATTTTTAAAATTACTCTTTGTTTTCGATAAATTTATTTTTGATCATTTTTAGGCTTCCCAAAAAGGGATCAAATTACTACCATCCAAACAGTTGGAGATGCTATTAAATAGAAAAGAATTTTATGAAAATAATTATGATAAAACTATAAACTACGAATTATTAGAAGGTATTATTTATAATTAATATATTTAGTATATATCTAAAAGTTTAATATCTCCTAATGTATGTTGATTTAGATTTTCCCGTGTGGCTTGAAGGTCTTGGTTTAAAACATCTGGCGCGTCATTTTGAAGGAAAAAAGTGGGAAGAAATAATAGGTGCACTTAAATAAATCTTACCTACTTACCTGATAACTTTCAAGTTATCTACTCAATTGTTTTAATCTCATTTCGTTATCTGTATTAATAGAAATGGATTGGCAAGCTTTGGATGTTTTAGGCATTGAATCTCGACTAATCCGAGCTAAATTAGTTAGTCATTTTTGGAAAGTTAAAAGGGATATTGTAGGTTATCCTATCAAGATTTTATTTTACTATTATAATTTTTATTCAATATTCATTTGATTTTCTTTCTTAAGGCTGCTAAAAAAGGATTAACCTTACCAGAAAAAGAAGAAAAACATAGACGAGAGCTTACTGTGGAAGAGAGGGAAATTATTGCTCAGCGCGAAAAATTTTACAAAGATAATTATATTAATATTAATTATAAATTATTAGAAGGTATATAGTACATATATTTAGATTACAGTCTAATTGCATAAACGTGCAATTAGACTGTATATTTAACAGACTTTGGTTATCTAAATGCATAAAAATAAAATTTCAAGCTATACAGTTAGACACGTGTTAACTGTATTTCAGATCTTTTTGCTACATGTACATAGATCCATAACATTTATATTTATAATTAACGCATTTTATAGATTTCCCCGCATGGCTTGATGGACTTGATTTGAAATATCATATTTCACAGTTCGAAGGAAAAACTTGGAATGAGGTTATCAATTTGGATTCACAGGGTTTAATAAATATTGGTGTCAAATATTTTACGCCCAGGGAAAAGTTGCTTTCATGTTTTTGGTTTGTCCAACGTGATCTTGTAAGCTTTAAATTATTTTTGTATTGAATAATTACGTGTATAATGTTGTATTAATTTAACCATATTTACGTGAATTATATAATAAGGCAACGAAACAAGGTACAAAGTTGCCATCAATAGAATTAGTTAGACATCGGAGGTTTTTCAAAGATCGACTCGCTGCTGGATCAATTCCACCAGAAATGGTAGCAGAAATTCAAGGCAAAAAAGCCGTATAATAGTGTAATTTTGTTTTAAGTGTGACTTAATAATTTGAATTTCAAGAGTGTATGGTTGAAAAAAATGTGTTAATTATAAACAAGGAAATTTTTACTATTAGTATATACATGATTCAGTTTTACCGGTAATTCTTATAAAAAGATATTACACTTCATTAAGAGTAGGGTGAGTGGCATGCCCAATACTTGTGTTGCGATAAACGTTTCAAAATATTAATAACACGATATAATAATATAATAGTTGATAAAGTTTGAGTATACATATATTTCGTACTGTACGTTAGAAAAAGTTGTACTGTACCTTTTTTTTTTATTGTTTATACAGTACC